ATTGATTTTAATATATAAATTTTATATAATCATATTTTAAATTATAAAAATATATTTTTATATATTATATTATATATGAATTTATATATAATAAATTAAGTATGTATATTTACATTGATTTATTATATAAAGTTGAAAAGTAATTAACTTTTTAATTTTTTGTATTTTAAAATATTAAATCAAAGTCAAATTAAATCCAAATTTGAATTCAAATCTGAGGTCTTCAAATCGGATCGGATTCGAATACAGGTTTTCAAATCTGAGGTTTTCAATTGAAGCAAAAAAAAAAAATACAGGTTTTCAATAATCAGATCAGATTTGAATTTTATTGGGTCTGATCCGACTACAGCCTTAAGACTGGTTGCCCATCCTTACATCCTTTTTGGACCCACACAAAGAAGGCCTTTGCATTGAAATCATTTTGAAGGTGAGAGTAAACCTTGAGAAGAGCTGTTTGGTAGGGATAAACTTGGATGGGAGTGAACACCTACACTATCATCTTAAGATGCTCTAGCTCAAATTGGCCTTTAAACTATCTAGGACTTCCTTTGGGTTGTAAAATGAGGTCAAACGCCTTTTTGAACTCCATACTGGATATGCTCACTAAGAAACCAGCCACTTGGAAAAGGAATTATATATCCTTTGGGGGATAACTTTAATAAAATCCACCTAAGCAAACATCCCTGTGTGCTTCCTATCAATGTTTAGGATTCCAGGCAAGATTGCAAAGAGGTTGGAGAACATTATGAGGAACTTTTTATGGGAGCCTAGGTTGGGGAACATTAAGTGTAAAGAAGGGGATTGGGATTAGGGAAATTGACCCTTAAAAACTCCTTATCAAGTAAGTGGTTATGGCAATTTCCTTTGGATACTGATAAATTGTGGTATGTGGTGATTAAGAGAATTCATGGACTTTTGACAATGGTTGGGATGTTGATCTTGCTTCTAGGACCACTCTTGAGCCCCCCCCCCCCAATAGGCCACTCTTGAGGCCCCTTGGAAATCTATATCCTCTTTATTATCGTTTTTTCTCCCTTATGGAAGAGTTTATGCTTTTTCTAGAAAGGAAGTAAAATTTTTGGAGGATCTTTGAATAGAGGAAGCTTCTTTAGACAAATATCCTCCTATCTGTTCCACTGCTAATAACCAAAAGCCTCTTAGTGTGCCATGGTGTTACCTTCTGGGCCGTCCCAAGATTTGGGCTCAAGGGGACTAAGGAAGTATGAAGTTCCATTTGCGTTGGACCAAATTCAATCATTGAAGAGTGTTTCCTTCAATTTTTCTATTCCTAACCAAAGAGTGTGCCACCTAATTCCAATGTTATTTTCTCTGCTACTTCTTTCTTTGACATTCTCTAGAGATCTTCCTCTCTTTTTCCTGCTAGTGGTATCTCTAAAGGACCAATTCCACCCAAATTTACGGCTTTTCACTGGGAAATGAATCATCAAAAGATCAGCATCTTGGAAATGCTACAAAAAAAGGTTAAGTCGGTGCCTTCCCCTCATATGTGCCTTTTGTGCATAGCAAATGGGGAAACTACTTTGCACTTGCTAATCTTCTGTTCCCTCTATTCAGTTGTAGCCTTGTAGGTTGCTCCCTCTAGACGTTGTAGGGAGATTGATAATTCTTTGCTTTTACCCTCGAAAAAGGAGAGGAAAATTTTTATGGTGAGGGTGGGCCTTGGCACAACAGTTGGGTTGTGCCATTGCGACCTGGGTGACCAAGGTTCAAATCTCGGAAATAGCCTCTTTGTGTGTGCAGGGGTAAGGTTGCGTAGATCTATCCCTCCCCAAGCCCCGCATTGGCGGGAGCCTTGTGCACTGGGCTGCCCCTTTTGGGGGATGAAAGAAATGCACAAGTTTTTCGCAAGAAGTCTCAATCGAAGAAGACTCTAGTGGAAAACGTCATGATATAAGTGGCTCAATGGGTTAAAATTTTACCACTCTTTGCTCTGTTTGTATTGTAAGACATTGTGAGGGGATGGTATCATACAGCTAACTCAACATCAGCAAGAACAGCCATAGTTCATGTATGGCAGCCACCTATACAAAACCAACTCAAATTGAATTTTGACGGTAGAAGCATAGGAAATTCAAGAAGAGCGACTATTTGCAAAGTTATAAGGGATGCTCATGGGTTGCTCATGGCATTATATTCTGGACCAATTGGTCAAAGTGAGACTCTAAAAGCAACGATGCTGGCTCTACTTTTTTAGTCTAAGGCTGGATAGATCACTGAATTTCTCTAACATTTGGACTATTTGGGAGGAAAGGAATACTAGAATCTTCCACAATAATGAGAGAAGCCTTTCTGAGTTGAAGGATTGCATTTTCTTAAGGGCACACTGGTTAAGAAAAACCTCTTTATCCCAGTCTTTCTCCTTTGATGACTTCTGGAGGAACTGGTCTATGGCGGCCTGTTTATCTCTCTTTGGAGCGTTGTAACTAAATTCTTTTAATCTAATGAATTCCAGTTATTGATAAAAAAAAAAATAACTGGTCAACAGTGGCTAGCACTTCATCTCCAAAACAGAGGTTTCTTGCAGTTTGGGTCCCTCCTCCTGAAGGGTTTGTTAAACTAAACTTTGACGGAAGCATCCAAGGTAACCCTGGGCCCTCTGGTATAGGAGGAATCTTGAGAGACAAGGAAAGCAATACCTTAGCAGTATATTCAGGTCCAGTTGACTTAGGAGATTCTAACAGAGCAGAGATATTAGCTGCTGTACAGGGGATTCAGCTAGCCAGCCAACTTGGTATTGAAAGGCTGATAATTGAAGGGTTTGTTAAACTAAACTTTGACGGAAGCATCCAAGGTAACCCTGGGCCCTCTGGTATAGGAGGAATCTTGAGAGACAAGGAAAGCAATACCTTAGCAGTATATTCAGGTCCAGTTGACTTAGGAGATTCTAACAGAGCAGAGATATTAGCTGCTGTACAGGGGATTCAGCTAGCCAGCCAACTTGGTATTGAAAGGCTGATAATTGAAGGCGATTCCCRGGTTGTTGTGGGATGGTTGTTGGATCCAGATTCGACTGTCTGGGGTTTAAGAGATCTTCTTAAGAAGGTAGCTTGGGTAACAAGGAATATGATAGTGAGGATCCAATGGGTAAGAAGATCGGCTAATGAGATGGCTGATTCTCTTGCAAAACTAGGGGTTAATAGGGTTTCTCTGTTCTGGGCAGCTTTATGATTGTGTATAATCTCTCTCCTAGTGGTAACTTGTATCTCATGTAGTCCTGATTTGTTCTTAAAGAGTGAGGCTGCACCTCGACCCTCTCTCTGGGCTTATTTGTAACAGATCTTTCTTCAAGTAATGTATTAAATTTTCAATTATCAAAAAATTGGGTGGTTAACAAACAGTAATCCAGGTTTGTCGAAGTAGAATAACTTAATTAAGGGACATCTGGAAGCTGGTAAGGAAGATGACAATTCAGATTCTGTGGATTCTATGTAGGCAATTATAATGGCCAATGCATTAGCTAAATAAGGGGTAAACGTAACTAATATGTACTAGGGTAACCAATGGATTTCAATGTAATAAAGGATACACATGGGGGATAGAGGGATAACTGGTTTTGGTGGTGCTTGGCACCTTCTGTACAAATCAGTGTTTTCAATCCGTTGTTGGTGCAGCCGGTTGAACCATTCAACCCATCACCATGTCACAATTCTGGAGGTCATAATTTTGTGCTCAGTGGTCGGATCAGAGTACGTTTTATTTTGGGTAACTGTTCATAATATATGCAAACCTTGACCCAGTATTTTTGCTAAAAAAAATGCTTTTTTTATCCTCCTTGTGGCATTGGACTTGATTCCTTCATATCCCATACCAAGGTCTGTTTTTTCGTGTGGACAGCTTACCAGTTACCTCAACAAATTTATAATTGACCATCTCATCTTGCGGGGCCAAGACTTAACAAATGAATGTTCCCTTAGCAGTTTTCCAACAGAATAGGTATCTCATTTATTGTTGCACTGCAATCTCATTAAATTGCTCGAAAGATAATGGGTTCTTTCTCTGGGTTTGCTTGCTTAATTTAGGCATGGTTACTTGGAGGTTCAGCAAGCAGGAAAACATTCAAGAGAACTTACTGCCCTTTTCTGTTTGTTGGAGCATATAGAAGGAGAGAAACAACAGAGTTATTTTAAGGAAGTGATGTAAAGTGTTGTCTCTCATTGGCAATATTGAATCTATAATATATTTATGGTTTTTAATACTAGCTGAGCTTAATAAACCATCCTTATCCCACTTTGCAGTCATTAGGAGAATGTCATCTATCAAGGGGATTCATTGTAAATGCTGCACATAGAATGACAAGTTACACTTGTACATGGGATAATAGTCTACTTCTGTTCTTTGGTGCATATTCTTTTTTCAAATAATAAACACTTGCATACCTTACCTTTCAAACAATTACTTCAATTTCAATGGCGACCATAATATATACTAAAACCTTCTCATCTCCCCAAAATTTAAGTATGTAAAAAGACCATATAATTGAGAACAATTCAAGCAGAACCAGCTTCATTATCGTTCCTTATTAGATTCTTCCAACGAGTAGACCATTCAATTTACATAGAGAAATTAAAAGCTAGCAAGAAAAGTAAGCTACTTCGAAAACACAGAAAACCCGCCATACTAAGCAATATGCAATATCCACCTCTCCACCCTGCACATAGTCATAATAAATAAATAAATAAAACACCTAGTAGCTACTGCATATAACAAACTAATCCGGTTCAATTACCGGGTCTAGCTTGTGCATCTCCCCGGTTTCATGCGCGATTCAATCAAATGCATGCAATTAAATGCGAGTTGCCAACAAAAGCAAAATAAGGTATCAAATCAACCCATTAAAAAGTAAAAATATGGGATYATCTATGAGGAATCCAGCTCGATTCAAATTACCAACAGATTCGAGATCCAAGTGAGATCTTGAAAAAGGAAAACCACTGATAGAGATAAGCATAATGGATCTGTAGTCTTTGTTTTGAGATTACCTCTCCTTTCGCTCTTGGATGTTCTTCATCTGCGCCCTATAGTGGTTCTCGATGAACTTCTTGGCCGCAGCAACCTTCTCCATGGTCAGACTCGAACCTAACGACTCCTCATTGGTTTCACCGTTCTCGTTGCGATCCTCCATCTCTCTGTAGCTTTCCCTCTCTAGAGACTATCTCCTTAGCCCTCCAATACCAGACTGTACAGTCTGCCTCGCACTATTTTTTATTGCTACGACGAAACGCCACCAGATCATAACCAAGAGGAAATGAGTGGAATTTCAGAACCCCTCTTCCTCCACCACTCTAAAAATAAAACCCCAATTATTTCAAGTCTATTCTCATTCACTGATCCTCTCTCTCTCTCTCCATGCATGCATGCACATACACCATCTGGTGGGGTCCTCTTGTCTGCTCCCCTGTGGCTCTCATAAACACGGGATATCTGTATGGATTGAGTTTTTTCCTTTATCATCTGAACCGTACACTACATCGTCTACCTTTTTGATGATCTATTTATCATCAAATGATAATGATGTACACTTCTCCTCGTAATATTCTCATCTAATGGTCAGTATTCATGATAAGCCCAGGGCCATAGCCTGGAATCAAATGGATTCATCTGGGACTTTGTAATCATTTCCATGACAGGAAAAAGATGTGAGATCGTCTTTGTATAAATCGAACGGTTCAAATTGTGATTTGATCTGAGTTCATGGCGTGCGAGGGAGAAGTTTACGGGCATGTATCTGTATGAGATCTGTACACAACAATTTCCAAGTATAATTAATATCTAAATACTTTTTTATTGTAGAAATAGAAGAATGACCGTTTACAAGGGGCATTTACCTGAACTCAAGCTATAAATCTAGCTGGAAACCAACATAAACTTTGTAGTTTTTATTATGCTCTGGTTATTCATTTTAGGGTAAAATACAAAAACTTCCGCTGAAATTTTTGACAATCGTAAATAACATCTCTATAGTTTCATTTTAACAAATACCTCCCCTGAACTTTTGAAAAATTCAACAAAAACATCTCTTCCGTGTCCCAAACGAAAAACGTTAGATTGATGCACCATTCTTTTAAAATACCCATTCTACCTTCTTATAAATTATTTTACATATAAAATTGCTGAAATAACCCGATTTTAACTCGACAAAAACCTCTTTTAACGATCATTTCATTAATTTTACATACAAAATTACTAAAATATGTTTTTTGTTGAGTTAAAATGGGATTATTTTAGTAATTTTGTATATAAAATAATTTATAAAAGGGTAGACTGGATATTTGGAAAAAAAATGATGCATCAATCTAACATTTTCCATCTCGGACAATGATGAAAGGGAGGTTTTTGTTGAGTTTCTCAAAAGTTCAAGGGAGGTATTTGTTAAACTAAAACTATAGAGGAGGTTTTTATGATTGTCAAAAACATCAAGGGAGATTTTTGTATTTTATCCTTCATTTTATTATATCTAATATTTTATAATTTCTCTTATCAGAAAAAAAAAATGAATTGAGGTCTGCTCCTCACACAGGGCTCCTCACACCGACCTTACATTAGGGGTGCTCATGATTCGGTTAACCGAACCATGTGGTAATTTTATAGACTGAACTAATAGGTTTGGTTTTTACATTCAACTGAACCGATACAACCAGTTAACCGCGGTCCAGYTTTTTGGTTTTTTATGCCCTTAAAATTAAAAAGAAAAAAGGACCAGAGAGAGTCTGAGAGCCGAAATGCATTAGCCTCTAACCCGCAGGCCAAGCCTCTAGTGTCGCAAATCGCCGATGTCGAAGGTCGTCGGTGAATTGGTCGGAGGACGGAGCGCCAAAAGCCAAAACCAGAGAGTCCGAGAGCCRAGAGAGAGAAAGTGAGAGAGATTCAAAGAGAGACAGAGAGGCGATAAAGAGAGTTCAAAGAGAGGCTGAGAGGCTAGAGAGAGAGAGAGAGTTCGTAGAGATATTGAGAGGTGAGAGAAAGAGAGAGAGATATTCAAAGAGAGACGTTGAGGCGATAGAGAGAGTTCWGAGAGAGGCTGAGAGGCTAGAGAGAGAGATTGAGAGGCAAGAGAGAGATTGAGAGCAAGTGAGAGAGAGAGGGAGAGAGATCAAATAGAGACTGAGAGGCGCATGCGCGCGCGCACGAGAGAGAGAGAGAGAGTTCAAAGAGAGACTAAGAGGCGAGAGAGAGATAGTTCAGAGAGACTGATAGGCGTGCGCGCGCGCGCGCGAGAGAGAGAGAGAGAGAGAGAGAGAGAGAGGGAGGGAGTATGAGAGAGTGAGAGTCCGATAAAGAAAGGGGAAGAAAAAGAAAGGCATGCGTAGTAGCCAGTGGGTGTCAGCCTGTCAAACGACTCAAACTGGCAGCCAGCGGATGCCGGATTGGTGAACTTGTCTCAGCTCTCAGTTCGGCAATCTGAACACTCTCAAACTGTCGAACATTTTTATTTGATTAAAAAAAAATAAAATGTAATATTAATATATATAATATTATGTAAAAATATATATCAGTCGGTTCGATTAACTGCCAGTTTTTTTAAATGGTTAATTGAAACTTTCAGTTTTTTGAAAACATCGAACCGACCGATTTGGCTAATCGATTTTTCGGTTTGGTTTTGGTCAATTCGGTTTTTCGGGTTTTTTTGCTCACCCCTACCTTACATGCACATCTCATCATGTATTGATAACTTATTCTGTGAATAATAATGTATAAGTACCTGAGATATTCTTAATACACGGTGGAACATGCCTATGACGTCGTTGTGAGGCACCCTTTGTGAGCAGCAGATCCAGTCTAAAAAATATATTTTATACTTTCTAACGCTTTAAATAAAGTAGTAAACATGGATGTATATTTGCATGTGCCAATTTCTAAGCGATTATAAATGAGCATTTTTTTGAATGGTTATATGTAGGCAATTTCTGAAATGAGAGTAAATGACATATATGCCCTCTTTGTACCCACTATATGCTTAGATAAGAGAGGTAGAAAAATGTTGGTGAAAATTCCCAGAAAAAAAGGGAATTCGCTTTTTATAGGTAATATAGATAAGTAATAATACATTCTTCTAAAATCCCGCTACCACCAAGGGTTGGGGGTTAAGGGAAAGGGATGGGCTACCCCTTGTTGTGTAGCCCCATGAAGCAAAAAAAAAAAAAAATTCTAATAATAAAAAAATCCTACTTTCGTATGTTCAATGACTCCGGAAACCAACATACATGGAACCAAGCTAGACAGGCCAATCGAAAACAAACATGTCAGTATTTCGTACCTTTTCAGACTGATGTGTTTAACTTTGATTTGGTATTACAACCTAGTTGGGAATTGCGATATGCTCCTTACACTGACCAAGCTCCATCCCACCGTTTGGCATTGATGCTGCAATTACAACACCATTTTCTGATGTTTGGCTTGGAATCGTTGCTGCCAGGTAGGATATTTCCAGGAGCAACAACAACTTTTTATGTTTGGTACCAATGCTCTAAGAAATGTTTTCTACACTTTTACCCATTATCCACTGCCACATCACTGCCCTGTTGGTAGCAACGAGCTGCAACTCCAGAAAATGCCAAATTTGGTGTTGCTCCAAGCCATGCCTTCCCGATTTTCAAGGCATGGCTTGGAGCACCGTTTTCTATGGAAAAACGGTTCCAAACAGAAGGCTATTTCTTGGAGCATCGTTTTTTTCCTACATAGTGCTGATGTGGTGCCGTTTTCTGGAGCAATAGCAACGGTTCCAAATAGACACATAAACATCTCCCACAGGCACAATTTTGAGTCGGCCTGGCCTGATGGTCCATTGGCCATACTATGGCTCGACATGATTTGTATGGGCCAATGAGCCATGTTGGTTTTTGGATTTCAGGTCAGTGGGCCAGGCTGGCACGGCCCGCATTGTCATGACGTGTCACCTGTGGTGCGGCCTAGCATGATCCACATATATATTTTATATATTTATATATATAATATATTACATAAATTATAAATATATAATAATTTAATGTATAACATATTAATAAAATAAACATTTTTTTCAATTTTATTTAACTATTGTATATATAAACAATTGTATACTTGAAAATTTAAGTTTTATTTTCAAATTTTTAAATAAATAACTTTAGCCCGATCCATGACTCGGCCTGGCCCAAGGCTTGGCTCATGGACCAACCTAGCACAGGCGCATGTGGACTCAGTCATGTGCCATGCTGGGCCGAGCCCCCAAAATATCTTAAGGGAGGGAAGCACGGCCAGTACGGCCTGTTTTACACCTCTAGATATATGGCTAKAACAGACGGCCTGAGAAACACTCTTTTAGAGCTTTGGCTGAATTTATGTTGTATGGAACAAGAACAAGCAAGTTTGGTATTAATGAACTTTGTTTATTAGCAATCATACTTAAACCAAAGGTTTTTAAAACCGACCCGGAGAATGAACCGATAAGGGGTCTGGTTCCCAAGTTGAACGATCTGACCGTTCAAACCAAATGGTTGGCTCGTTATGACAAAAAAATAAAATAATAAAAACAGTCAAAACCGTTGAATGGTTCGAACGCCCGGGTCAACGGTGTGCTGACCAAATCAATGTTTTTTTTTGCAAATATTCGATTTTAGGGAAAACGGAGGAGAAATGTCCCATTTGGCATTGTTTTTACCTATTTTTCTTATATAATTTTTTTTTTCCTGAAACATTTCTCTTGTTCTCAGTTACAGAGAAATAAAGGATACATTTGGCAAAATGTTTCTGAGATTTTTTTTTTTTGCATCAACTGAAATTTATAGCCATTGGGAAAAAAGTATATTGCAGAACATATCATCGTTGATGTAAATGGGCATTGAATATGTGCAAACATAAGAAACATTTCGTTTTAGTTATTTATAATGAGATCGCATGACACATGGGTGGAGCCAAGGGAGCCATGGCCCCCCTATGGTTTAGAAAATCCTCGCTGAAAAACAGTTATCCATGTAAATTTTCTCTTCTCTCCACTCTCCATTTCAATGGTTGGCCCGCCCTATGGGCCTATCCATACTTCATTTATGTTTTGACCCCCCTTATAACAATTTCCTGGCTCAGCCCCTGGTATGACACATAGATTTTATGGAATAAGTCAATAATATGAACCAAATATTTAAGAAAATTTAATAAAGAAAATGGGGTTTTCACCATAGATTTAACAAAAAGGGTTATTCACCAAGAATTTGATTTAATCACATCAAAAGGGAGTTTTATGCAACGACTCTAAATATATATGTCACTAAGTTATGTTTTGGTTTGAAAGAAAAAGTAGGGAAAAATAGAGAAACCTATGTAAGGTTTGTAAAGGT